GGCGCACGGTCGTGGAAATCTGTACAGCGCTGGTCCTCCTAAGCCAGGTAGTGAGAAAGAACCTCTTCCCTCACTGCTTGTGAAAGGTGGGACTATCGGCGGTGCACAGGTCCTCGGTAATGGCGATTTGTTTGTCACCTCTACAAGTCTAATTGAGAACTCTTTGTACTCGCTGGTACCTCTGAGCTCTCGTCCCAATAGCGTGGATACATATAATCTGCCTATTGATGACCGACCATACGACTCGGATCCCGACAATCTCACTACCAAGTACATCTCTTCCAACACACGCTCAGGCTCCATGTTTGGGTTATCGCGTCATCAAATCGACGAGATCCACTGGGACGGCGCGGCAAAGGATACTAAAGTCCATGCTTGGGTCATAAAACCCAGTAACTTTTCGTCCAAAGAGAAGTATCCACTGGCATACCTGGTCCACGGTGGGCCGCAAGGCGCATGGACCGATGGATGGAGCACGCGATGGAACCCTGCTGTATTTGCCGAACAAGGCTACGTCGTCATCTGTCCAAACCCAACAGGTAGCACGAGCTACGGCCAAGCCTTTACTGATGCCATTCAAGGCCAATGGGGTGGACTGCCATACCAAGACCTCGATTTGGGATTTAAATACATCGAGTCCAACGTCAGCTATGTCGATACAGATCGCGCTGTTGCTCTTGGTGCTTCCTATGGCGGTTACATGATGAACTGGATACAAGGTCACACTCTGGGCCGCAAGTTCAAAGCCCTTGTAACTCACGACGGTGTCTTCAGCATGCACGGCCAGATGTCTTCTGAAGAACTCTACTTCCCCTTCCATGATCTCAAAGGCACCCTTTGGGGCAACCCTGATGGCTGGGATAAGTGGGATCCAAGCAGGTATGTTTACCTAGATACATTCAAGTCCAAACTGTTGCTAACTATCGCTACACAGGTTTACGAAGAACTGGGCTACACCACAGCTTGTGATCCACAGTGAGTTGGACTACAGACTGACTATTAGTGAGGGTTTGGCAGCATTCAACGTGTTGCAGAGCAAGGGGATCGAGAGCCAGTTCTTGACCTTTCCAGACGAGAACCATTGGGTGCTTAAGCCAGAGAACAGTCTGATGTGGCATGAGGTTGTATTGGATTGGATCAATGAGCACGTAGGATTGGAGAAGTACACGGAGAGCGAGAAGGCGAGCAAGAGGGTGTAGGACGATTGCATGAAAACATCAAATTTAAATAGTTAAGGGCATTTTGTAGTTCAACTAACTATTGAAAATAAGCATACATCCCAACTTTTGAATAACGAGCTCAATAGAAGGCTTTGATTGGACCGAGAGTGCGCGCATTGAAGGATGCAGTGCTAGCGCGACTTCGTTATCGATAACAATTATTTTCTCGGAACCTTTGAAGCTTCCTCGGCGGCCAGAACTTTTGCTCCCACGCGCCGTCAATCCCACCACCACACCAGCAGCAGGTGTCACTCCCTTGCCATTCACCCAAGAGTATCTTGCGACTCGTTTGGTGTTATATAATTGCCTGCGCCATCCAGATACACTCGAATACGGAAGAGGAGGCGCTGCCGCCTGCGCAGCTCTCAAGATGCCAAAGAAAGCCATCGACTCCCGCATTCCGGCGCTGATTCGAAATGGCGCACAGGAGAAGAAACGTAGTTTCTTCGTCGTTGTTGGCGACCGCCAAAAGGACGTCATTGTCAATCTTTACCACATTCTGCTCAACGTCGACGTTAAGCTGAACAAGTCGGTGCTGTGGGCATACAAGAACAAGCTGCTGGGATTTTCTAGTCACCGCAAGAAGCGCGAAAAGAAGATTAAGAACGAGATCAAGCGGGGCATACGTGATGTCGACACCGAGGATCCGTTCGAATTATTCATCTCGACGCAGAACATTCGATATGTCTACTATAAAGAGACGGAAAAGATTTTGGGTAACACATACGGCATGTGTATTCTGCAGGATTTCGAAGCGCTTACACCCAACCTCCTTGCTCGGACGATAGAGACAGTCGAAGGTGGAGGATTGGTTATACTCTTGTTGAAAGGCATGAGCAGCTTGAAGCAGCTATATACTATGTCTATGGATATCCACTCAAGATACCGAACAGAGGCGCATAGCGACGTCGTTGCGCGCTTCAATGAGCGCTTCCTACTGTCCCTTGGAAAGTGCGACAGTTGCTTGGTCGTCGACGATGAACTTAATGTGCTTCCTATTTCGGGTGGAAAGCACGTCAAGCAACTACCGCCACCGGACCCAGAATTGGAAGGCAAGACACCAAAGGCGAAGGAATTGGCGGAAATTAAAGAGTCTCTAGCGGACTCGCCTCCCACTGGAGATCTAGTCAAGCTCGCAAAGACTGTGGATCAGGCAAAGGCTCTGCTTACGTTTGTCGAGGCTATTGTGGAAAAGACCCTGCGAAGTACTGTTACGCTAACAGCAGCGCGTGGTCGAGGTAAATCAGCAGCTCTGGGTGTGGCTGTAGCAGCAGCGGTAGCGCACGGCTATAGTAACATCTACATCACATCGCCAAGTCCAGAGAACTTGAAGACGCTATTCGAATTCATCCTCAAGGGCTTTGACTCGCTCAACTATGTCGATCACCAGGACTACACAATCATGCAGTCTACTCAGCCGGATCAGAACAAGGCGATTGTAAGGATTGAATTACACCGCCAGCACCGACAGGTGATTCAATACATCAAGCCTGAAGATTCGCATGTTCTTGGTCAAGCAGAGTTGTTGGTCATTGATGAAGCTGCAGCTATTCCCCTGCCATTGGTACGGAAACTGATGGGTCCTTACCTCGTCTTCATGGCCTCGACAATCAACGGTTACGAGGGTACTGGCCGATCACTGTCTCTCAAGCTCATACAGCAGCTTCGCGAGCAGTCACGAGGCAAGGGTACCAACGGTTCGACCCACGTCGTAGATCGCTCAACAGGAAAGGAGACAAAGGATGCTTCAGAGACTACGATGACAGGTCGCTCGCTACGAGAAATTACGCTTTCGGAGCCCATTCGATACGCCCCAGGCGACTCTGTCGAGCGCTGGATGAACGACCTCTTGTGCCTCGATGCAACCTTGCCCCGAAAAGTAGCCACACAAGGATGCCCCCATCCTGACAAGTGCCAGCTCCTTCACGTAAATCGCGATACACTTTTCTCTTACAATCCGGCTGCAGAGAAGTTCTTGCAGAAGATGATGGCGCTCTATGTGGCCAGTCACTACAAGAACACACCCAACGATTTGCAGCTCATGTCCGATGCGCCGGCGCACCACCTGTTTGTCCTTACCGGACCTGCAGAGGACAACAAGCTTCCTGAGCCTCTTTGTGTCATTCAAGTGGCTTTGGAAGGTCAGATTAGCAGGGAAAGTGTGCTGAACAGTTTGAGCAGAGGGCAGCGTGCAGGCGGCGACTTGATCCCATGGATTGTGTCTCAGCAGTTTCAGGATGAGAACTTTGCAAGTCTTTCGGGTGCCCGTGTGGTGCGGATAGCAACAAACCCTGAATACGTTAACATGGGATACGGATCAAAGGCCCTGCAACTCCTGGTTGATTTCTACGATGGCAAGCTCGCAAGTTTGTCCGAGACGGAACCTCAAGAGGTGGAGCACATGCGAAGGGTCACAGAGGAAGACTTGGAAGATGCATCACTTCTCAAGGATAACGTCAAGGTTAGGGAAGCAAGCGAGATGCCGCCGCTGTTCGCTCGGTTACAGGAGTTGAAGTCTCCCAAGCTTGACTACGTTGGTGTATCGTACGGTCTCACCTCGCAGTTGCACAAGTTCTGGAAACGCGCATCTTTTGTGCCAGTATACCTTCGGCAAACACCCAACGATCTGACTGGAGAGCACACATGTATCATGCTACGCTCGCTCGAGACAACCTCATCAGATGGGAGCTGGGTGGCGGCCTTTGCCAAGGACTTCCAGAAGCGCTTCCTCTCTCTTCTCTCCTATCAATTCCGCACATTCCCATCCACGACATCCCTTTCGATAGAAGAGTCTGCCTCAGCAGGATCCAAACTCGACGCCGACCTCGCCGCGAAACCCATCAGCAAAGCCGAACTCGACGCCCTCTTCACGCCCTTCGACCTCAAGCGCCTGGAATCCTATGCAAACAACATGCTAGACTACCACGTCATTCTTGACCTGCTCCCCTCCATTGCCCACCTTTACTTCACCGGCCGCCTCAAAGACACCGTCAAACTCACCGGCATTCAAAAATCCCTCCTCCTCGCCATCGGCCTCCAGCGCAAAGAATTCTCCGATGTAGAAAAAGAACTCAAAGATGCAAACGCAAGCCAGCTCATGGCCATGTTCGTCAAGATTATTCGCAAAGTCGCCACCGCTTTCCGCAGCATCGTCGAGGGCGCAGTCCAAGAAACTATGCCTGACGCCATGGATATCGAAGACAATGCGGGAACTGCAGATGGCGATGCAGGCCGCTTTAAGCCGCTAGAGAAGAACTTGGAAGAAGAGTTGAAGGAGGGTGGAGAGGAGTTTCTGGCAGAGGATAGAGAGAGGCAGAGGAGTATGATCGATGCTTTGCCTTTGCATAAGTAAGTTTTTTCCTTACTCTACCAATTCTAGATGCTCTGGCTAACCTTTATACCCCAACAGATACGAGATCGGTACCGGAGCCACCGACTGGGAAGACGCCGAGCGCGCTATCAGCAATGCGGCGAAGAAGGGCGCAGCAGGTAGTATAACAGTATCTGTCAAGACGGGCGAGAAGAAGCGGAAAGTAGGGGAAGCGGTGGAGGAAGCGTATAAGGAAGCTGAGAAGTTCAAGGAGAGTGCGGGAAAGAAGAGTAAGAAGCATAAGTCTGGGAAGAGGGCGTGAGATGGATGCATAGGTTATAAGGATTGTTTTTTTGGAGGGGCGTTTGATATCCCGTTTTTATAAAATTTCAAATCTGGATTTACGTACATGTGTGTGTTTGTATCAATATACAAAAGCAAGTCTCGTACTGCATATCTTTGTCAACTAAACAAACGTAATCGTCTAGGAATCAAGAAAATTATAGATTAAACAATAGCATTAGTAATCGAGTCGACAAAGAAAAAAAAGAAGATAAAATAGAGCAAAATAGGTTGACTACATAAAAGCTGCTACATAACACTATCGAGGTGGTTGGATGGCAGTTATAACACAACGAAGAACCAAGGAAGAACGACCCCCAAAATGCCAAAAAAAGAATTTGCCAAATAAGGGTTGTCAAAAGGAGAAGATTGAGGGGGTGGGATATCATGCGCTCTTTGCAAAAAAACGGACCGAAAACCAAATGCAAAGAAGGGCGTTGGTGCAGAGAGGGTGGATGAATATATGTGTGCCTTTGGAACAATCTTCTTTCTTTCTACAAGTTCTCTCTGGTCCCAAAATAAACGCATTTTGGGGGAGATGGGGGAGCGATGTCGTGAGAGCATGCTTTGCCCTTGTTTCTTTCTTTTACTTAGGTCTCGGTGGTTACACGCCCTGCGTTATGTATAATCTTCAACTCCATTGTCGAATTCTTCATCAAGGGGGGACGTAGATAAGTTTTGGTTGGCATAGTCGGCATGAGTTCAAAGCTTTACTCAGAAAGCATCTTCGTTAGGGCAGGCCGTAACATCGTGACCCTCGCTTTCGCACAGGGCACACCATTTGTCTGGATCGGCAATGGCGGCGCCCTTGGGGGGAACGAGGTCGGAATTGGACGCGGTGAGGGAAGGATTGGGTAGAGGAGCGGTCGGGGCGCTGCCGGGGGTCTTGGAAGGAGTGAGAATGGATGGGCGGCGCTCGGAGAGGGAACGGTCGGAGATGGAAAGGCCGCGAAGACCTTCGATGACGCCGTCTTTGCCGTTGTGGATGCTGTCGTTTGTGCGGGAGTAGGTGGATGCGTCGCCGCCCATGGCGGAGCAGTTGAGGATGTCGTGGCCGCCCGTCTCGCAGATCTCGCACCAGAGATGGCTGCTGTTGACGGATGAGCGGCCGTCTGACTCGGGCATTATTGCAAGAGCGGGAGGAGTGTTGCGCTGTGACGAGTCCTTCCAGTTCATGATTGTGTCTTTGGAGTCACGCTCCGAAGGCTTCTTCTGTACAGCTGCAACTTCCGACACACCATTGCTAATCATGCTGTCACGTTGCTCGGCAAGACCGAGCTGGCTCTTCAACTTTTCAATCTCACGCTCTAGTTCTTCTTCTCGGTAAGCCTTGCGTTCCACGAGACCACGAAGCTCTTCCTTTTCGCGCTCCAGGCGCTGTGCGTCTGCCTTTGCTTGTGCGAACTCTTCAGCGTCCACAGCAGGGCCTTGGGGTGATAGAGGCGAACGCACACGCTCGTCCCCACCGGAACTCAAGGAATGGATAATGGCTTTGAGTCCTCGGATTTCGTCGTCACGTTGCTCTACCTCTCTTTGACTTGGGCTTTGAGGCGTATCGACCATGGCGCCCGCCCCCTTTAGAGCTGCAGCGGCCTTTTCTCGCTCGCGACGAAGCTCTGATCGGCCACGCTCCACTTCACCCCTGAGGAACTCCACTTCCCCTCGAGCTTCTGCCTCGCCTCGGCGCGCATCTTCCAGGCCTTCTTCAAGCTCTTGCACGAGCTCTTCGAGTTGCTTTAGCTGCATAGCAACAGTCTCAACGTCTTCGGTACGAGATTGATATTCCCGTAGCTCTTCCGTCAGCTCCTCGACCTTCTTTTCGTATACACGCTCAGTTTCGGTGCTGGCTAGTTCAAGAGTATCAATGGTGCTTCGGAAGTCAGAGCGATGTGCGTCAAACTCGGACGTGAGCATGGCAATCTTATCGTTCTTCTCTCGTAGGAGTGCTCGTAATTGCGCTACATCATTGGGTTCATTGCTACCATGCGCCGACCCCATGTCCATTCCGTCTTCTGGTATCAGGCTCTGGATCTCGGCAAGGCTTGCCTCCATTTCGCTCAGCGATGCAGCCTGCTCTTTCAGTTGCCTCTCTCGCTCATCCAAAAGCGCCTGTAGCCGCTGCACCTCTTCGCTCGGAGAGGAGCCCAGCCGCGAGCCGGGGCGGCGATGTTTGTAACTGGATATGGAGTCATTGCTCGTGCGCGCTGCGCCGACGGGTGTTGTTTCAGTGTCTTCTTCAATAATATCTTGCTGGCCAACGCGAGAGCTGCTCCGCGAGTAGGATCGCTGGGGGCCGGGTGTTCGTGGCTTCTGCAAGGGAGGAGCCCTCGGGGCAGGACTGGCAAAGCGAGGAGGGGCCGGGCTTGCAAAGCGTGGGGGTACGCCGATTGCGCTCTTGGAGAAACCAGAAGGTGTGCGTGAGCCACTGCGAGCCGGTGAGGCACTTAGGCCTTGCTTCTGACGATAGGGTGATTCAGGGCGTGCAAAGGAGCGGCCCAGGCTGGATTTGCCTTGGGGACTGGTTGCGCGGACACCGGGTCCGATAGACTGGGAGAATTGCGACTTTGGCGCATCGTGGCCGAAGTTGGGTTTTTCGGTGGTGGAGAGGCTGAAGTTGGGATACGAAGGTGTGACTGGCTCAGGCGCAAAGTCAGATGAGCCTCCTGAGACCCGCTTTTGGGCGCGATGCACAGGGAGGAAGATGCCGGAGTTGGGGATCGAAGTATCAAAGTACTGTGTGCTGTGTCGCCATCAGTGGATGTGCCCAGGAGTGTGTTCAGAAGAGCGGTGGGCATGCGTACCCATCGACTGAGCCGTTATTCTTGCCCCGCGCGGCGTATTCTCTGCTGAGTTCGACGCCGGCGAAGACTCCTTGCTTGCCGCGAATGCTGCCGACAAACTTGACGACACCGACCATGCCACCAGGCACATCGACAGTGTCGCCTACATCAATGTCCTGGCCGTCGGCGCCCATGCGGTGTGCTGGCGAGTTGCCGCCTACGAGTGCTGAGAGAGAGGCTTGTCGGGCCATGTTTTTGCTGGCGGCGTTTAGGTTGGGCGATGAGGCAGTGGGATGTAGCATAGGTCGCGCCCCAAGGCGGCGGGGAGTCTGGGGATAGGCCATGCCAGGATGTTGTTTGTCGCAGGGTAGACCTGTTCCTTAGTGTAGAGTAGGTTGGACAGACCAAGGACGGTGTTTGTTTTGATAAGAGGGGACTACAGGGGTCTGGACAGCCAAGTCATGGGCGACGGTAGAGCGTGATTATTTAACCGACAGCTGCCCAATGAATTGCGATCATCCCATTCGGGCGACATGGCGCTCCTAATTGTTCTTTATGCGCCCCGTCCCGCATTCCCCTGGATGTGGACGCCTATAGATTCTGCGGCTTGACGCCTTAGGGAAATGTCTTTGCGATACCACGCTCAACAAGGCCGCATCACGTCACCCAAACCTAGTGTGTGATAGGGCGGTCCATCACCAACCGTCGGTCCTTGGTACCAAAATGGATCCAATAAAGTCTACAGCACCAGTCTGTGGTTGCCCTTAGCATGGCAGACAAGCCCTCTCTGATGCATGCTAGGCAGCTCAGCACATAGAGAGGGTCGAAAGTTGTCAATTGTGACACCTCAGGGGTTTTGGCAAGACAAGTTGCATTCAAAGCTGCCCCGTCTCTACAGGGAGTGGTAGACGATAGGCGTAAGGAGTAGTATACATTTCCATCTACGTGGACATGCTCAGCACATTGGCCTTGTATAAAGAAATGAAAAACGTCTGAACCGTGGACCGTACGTTGAAGTAGGAGCCGTGCCTTCGCCCACAGACCCGCGAGCTGGCCCTTGCGTGCCGAACATGCGCAAACGCGTGAGCACGTGAGGACATATCGCCCGGACCAGCACTTCCACAAGTTCCCCTGGCCGCCTGCGTGCATGCAGACAATCTTGCAGAAAATACTTCATCATGCTATTAGATGGATACGCTGTATCGGCTTTCACTTATTAGAGTGCGTGCTATTACGAGCATCCGTTTCAGATTAAGGCAAGGAATATGTCTGGTGGCATGACAACCGTCAAGAGTAAAAAAGAAAAAAAAGGCTTTTGGAACCATTCACGGACATCATGGACCCAAATCTCAAGGAAACATAACTCCTTTTTTATGTTGAATTGTATTGAACAAGTCTTTTTTCCAATACTCATGCTCATCCCGATTCAGCTCGCTGCGGAGATGCAGCCACTCCCGACTCGCCGAGCCAGATCCCCCCATGTCTAACAATTGCCGAGGCTCATGGCTCGGTGATGCTCAACCGCGCCAGCTACATCACTGTGCACCCGCGCTTGCCATGCGCTCACTCTAGACGCACCCACCATGGCTGGCAATGTTCGGCAGCCCATTGATGTAGCCTCTCTGGAGCGCTACATCTCTGCTCATGTTCCTGAAATTAAGGTTCCCCTGGATGTGAAGCAGGTGCGTGTGTGGTGGAATGGGAATCAAGCTTGACCCAAGGAACACGATTTGCTGATACAGAAGCTAGTTTGGTTATGGACAATCAAATCCGACATACCAGTTGACGGATAAGACCGGAAAGAAGTATGTTTTGAGGAAGAAGCCTCCGGGCCAGCTGCTGTCAAAGGTACACACACTTCTACATATCAGTCTTCTTTCAACCACCGAGAAAAAGAAAGCTAACCTGCTTGCTTGCTCACAGACTGCACACAAAGTCGATCGTGAATACCGCATCATCCATGCACTGGAAAACACCGACGTCCCCGTTCCACGAGCACTATGTCTTTGTCAAGACGAAAAGGTCATTGGCACAGACTTCTACATTATGGAGTTTCTCGACGGCCGCATTTTCGAAGACCCTGTCCTTCCTGATGTAACCCCAGAGGACCGAACAAAAATGTATGCTCTAAACACCAAACACCTCTTCAATCTCCGTACATTAACTAACCTGCCTGTAGGTGGCACTCCGCCATCACCACCCTCGCAAAATTCCACCGCGTATCCCCTTCCTCCGTAAACCTCGCCTCCTACGGAAAACCCTCCGGCTTCTACACCCGCCAAATCGCAACCTTCAACACAATCTCTCAATCCCAAGCTTCCGCCAAAGACAAAGAAACCGGCGAACCCGTCGGCAAAATCCCCCATCAAGACGACATGGTCGCCTTCTTCAGCGACCACCGCACCCAACCAAAGGACCGCGCGACCTTCGTCCACGGCGACTACAAAATCGACAACGTGGTCTTCCACAAGACCGAACCCCGCGTCATCGGGATCCTAGACTGGGAAATGAGTACGATTGGCCACCCGCTTTCCGACTTAAACAACGTCATGTCGCCGTATATCACGGCATCCAGTCAGACCGCAATGTCGATTGGGCGCGCGCACCAGGGGTTCCAGCCAGGAGCTACACCCGGGCTACCCACCTGCGAGCAGCTTATCACGTGGTACTCTGAGGTCGCGGGGTGGGATCCTCGCCCGGATTTCACGTGGGGGAATGCGTTTAGTACGTATCGGCTTGCTATTATTATGCAGGGTATTGCAGCAAGGTATGCGTTGAGGCAGGCGAGCAGTGCGCAGGCACAGGAGTATGGGCAGATGATGAGGCCGTATGCTGAGATTGCGTGGGAGTTGGTGCAGGAGGTTAAGAGGGAGAATGAGAAGGCCAAGTTGTAGGCGTAGTCTTGGTTGCTGTGTCCAGTTGTCAGTAGATCAATTTAAAATGCAATGAAAGAAGCCATGTTTTAAGCATCCACTTGACAAGCTGCTACATCCTTTAATTCCAGTGTTGAAAATGCTAATTGACTGGAGCCTATGGCACTAATTTTATTTCGTTCTCTATTGACCGTATGACTCGGATCCTACTTGCGCTCCCTCAAATGCTCTATTAGTGTTCCCTCGGTTGTCATCATATCGAGGGTACTATATCGCGTATATAATCCAGTCTGTCAACACAGATATTGCGCAAGGAGAACAATAAAACACTGTCCTCTGTAAATGGTAAACTGCTCGGGACAAGGGAGATACAGGCAATGGAAAAGGAAAGGGAGGAGGGGGAGCCTGGTAAAGGCATGCCCAATAGTTTCTTTTCGCGCCTCAAACGCCAGATGCGCCGTTTAGTAATCTTCCCGTACTCTGTGCCATGTCGCTTTCCGCTCTGATGCTTGGTCCAATATATCGCTGACTTTTGCTTCCTCGTGGCGGGTCGCATACACGCTCTTTACCGTCCAATCTTGGGGACGTCCTGGTTGATACGGTCGAGGGCCTGGAGCAAGTTAGTTAGCTTGTGATGGACCATATTTGTTAGAGATACAGGGGAATTCGTACCTCAAGCATGACTACGGCGTTTCCGCGAATGACGACCATGCCGATGCGTACTTTCTCACCGCCAGCCTTTTCTTCAAGCGCTTCGTCGAGAACAATGTTTAGGTAGACCTGCGCGGTGTGAGCTTTGTTTGGTGAGATTGGAGAATGCTGGAATGGGCTTACGTCGTATCCACGGAGAATACCCATGACTTTGCGACTGCCGTTTAACTGCACGAGGACGCGCTTCTCCAGGTACTTTGGCCGGGTTAGTAAGAATGGATTTGGGACTGCAATTCAAAGCTTACCTTCTTCAACTCGGGCTGTGCTTGAGGCATTTTGGAAGCGGTGGTATAGCGATGGAAGTTTTGTTGCTATGTAGGCGGTGATTGGGTGTTTAGGTGACTACGTTCGTGTCGGTCGTGGGTAAGCTGGGGTCGCGCGTGGTGTTCGACGAGCAAGAGCAAGTGCTACACATGGTGGGAGAGCTCTGGGGCTTTTTGCGGAGGGCCCGTGCACAGGCACCACCACCGACATGTGAGCGCGACAACTAGTCTTCCACTATAAATCCTCCACGGACTTGATCTGATTTTAAGAGCATTGGGAAATAACAGGAAACCATTAAACATGAAAAGATCTAGTTCTACGCGTGTAGCGCGCAAAATCGGCAGCTACGATGACGACGAGTCCGCCGATAGCACCAACAGCTCGCAGAGCGAAGTACAGAAGCCTATAGGTTAGTCGTAACTTCTTCGCGATTGCCAGCCTTTCTGACGTTGGGGAAACTCGCAGCGAACCTTTCCAGGCCCACGTGAAAAAGCTGGCAAAGGCTCTGTGCTAACTAAGCCTTGTAGTCGTCAAGCGGCCTGCGCTTGGTAAAGCAAAGAAGCGCTCTTCCCTACGCATGTCGTTTGGTGCTGGCGACGAAGCGAACAATGGCGAGGAATCAAGCGATTCAGCGGTTGTGACTCCGAAAAAGGCGAACCTTAGTCGCATAGCGCTGGAAAAGAGCGCACAACTACGGGCTCGCTCACCACTCGTATCGGAATCTGCGAAATCGACCGAATACAGCAAGGATTATATTGCTGAACTACGAAATTCGACGCCGTCAACACCTAGAGATCTCAAGATATCCGCCGAGGAAGAGGAGGAAATTCACGGGCTGGATATTGCGGCAAAGTTTGGGCCTATCGCGTCGCTCGAGACGATGTCATCTGCGATTCCTACCGAAGCAGAGATACGGGAAAAGAAGGCGCGGAGGCGACGATTAGCACATGAGGAGAACGCGTATGATGACGAAGATGCAGCCTGGGCATCCGACGACCAAGGGGAGGACGAGTTCAGACAACACAGAGACAAGATTTCCCTTCGACCCAAGGACAAATGGGGAGAAACCCGCCTAGTCCACGACGACGAAGACATCGCTGAAGGCTTCGACGACTACGTAGAAGACGGCAAAATAGCCCTCGGTCGCAAGTCCGAAAAGGAAGCCCAGCGACGACGGCGCGCCGAAATGGCCGAACTCATCAACGACGCAGAGGGCTCCTCAGGAGACGACGGCTCCGACGACTCCGACGAAGACCGCAACGTCGCATTCGCTGCAGCCCAAGCCCGCGCAGGTCGTTACGGCCAAAAAGTAGACGAAGACGACGACGGCACCAGAACGCCTCCTCGCATCACGTCTCTACCGGATCTAGACGACATCCTCCAGGGTCTCACCATCGACATAGAAGCCCGAAAGCATAGAAAAGCACTGCTCCTCCAGAAAATGCAGGACCTCAAAGACGACAAAGTAAGGATTGAGGAGCGCAAGAAGTATCTCCAGGAACAACTCCAAAAGACAGGTGAGGAATACGAAAAGCTACGTCAGGAATCTGGGCTACCGGCCTTACCCGCTAGTACTATGGAAGGAGGAGGACCAGGTAGGTTGATTACAGAAAGAGGGTTGGATAGTCTGGGGACTACACCGCTGGGTGGCACGCCGCTGGCTAATCGATCGAGCGAGGAGTCTGATTGAGTAGTGTGTTCGTTTGAATTGAATAAAAGAGGACCTTTCTGGGTCGTGTAATTGTACATGATTTCTCCTCCCTCCCTGCATTTTGCCATGCTCCGTGACGCCCATAATCCCATCCCATATATACATAAACCCTTCCAAAACACCTTCCAATGCCCTCCACCCCCATCTTTTTATTCTTACCACCCCCCCTTCCTTTCATCTTCTTCCTGTTCGCGTATGTTCTCACTGCGTTCGCACCTATTTATTCTCATCCAGTTCCCTCCAAACCTTCTGAATCCTTTCCCTCTTCTCTTTCGCCGCCTCGCGATTCTGGCGCGTGCGCTCAAGCCGGATGCCGCGCAGACACATGTTGACTTTGTGCTTGGCGTCGGTGCAATTGCCCGTTACTTTCCAGAGGAAGCCGTGGGCGTGGCATTCTTCGAGGGCGGCGACGACGTCGGCGCAGTCTAGGTTGGGTTGGGGTTAGCTGGAGTGTGTGTTAGGGAGGGGGAGGGGAATTTACTTTTTTGGACTTCTTCGGTGTGGAGGTGGGGGTGCATTGTTAGGCTCGGTGGGATTGAGGTGCCGCAAGAAGGGTGAGTGTTTCGTTGGGTGTAGTATGGGCGCAAGTGGTGGGGAGTGGAGGTTGGTCGAGAGTGTTAGGTGTAGTTAGAACCAATCCGATCTCTGGTTTTTTGGACGAATCGCACGAGATCTCAGCATAGTACCCTAACGTTAACACCGTACGTCCGAGCGCGTCTTTCTTCGGCCTTTGCGCTCGCAACGTCGGTTTCGATCAACAACGCTTGCTTAATTCTCGCGGACAGATTAGCCATACACAAATTAGCGTATCCGTCTGCAAGTAGAATTTCATCCGCGTGGCTGTGAGTGCACTGCATTGGCCATTGCACAATCTTTTTTTCGCTCATTCTTTCTCCCGAGTTCCCCGCAACCCAGAGTGGGCGTCCCTCACCCGCCACCCAAGTTCGCTATGGCGTCTCAAGCACAGCTGAAGAAGCAACAAGGTATTCCTTACACTCTCTATTTTCGAAGAGTACTTTCAAGTAAGCTGACACGAGGGCAGAGCTTCAAACAACGTACCAGAATTACAAAAACACGCTACAAACTATTGCCTCCAAAATCGGGGATATCGAGCAAGAATCCGAAGAACACAAGTAAGTTTTCCACGAGTTGCATAGTGCCCAAATTTCAGTCACCTGCCGCTTCTCAATCACACCGCTTCTTCGGTGGCTCGGCGTCTCCAACAGCCCCTCCTTTGAGGAGATTGTCTACTCTTTACAGCAAAGAGCAGGATGCCTGGGTTGTGTCATGTAGTCAAGGAGAATCATTAACTGATATATACTAGACTTGTGCTCGAGACACTGCAGCCGCTTTCGGGAGACCGGAAATGCTTCCGCATGATCAACGGCGTCTTGACTGAGCGGACGGTCAAGGAGGTGGTGCCTATTCTGCAGACTAACTCGGAGGGCCTGAAGAAGGCGCTAGATGAGCTAGTCAAGCAGTACAAGTCGAAGCAGGATGAGATGGAGAAGTGGAAGGTATGTGTGTCTGTTGTGTGAGAAAGAGAGTTGCATATGACGACTGAATCTATGATCTGGGGTTGGGAACGGACAGCTGACTTTGCCACTACAGAAGAAGAACAACATTCAGGTTGTTCAGCAGCCTGGACAGTAGACTGGTGTCCGGATCGTGCGGCACCCCTTTGACAGGGAGGGTACACGACGTAGGCTTGGTTCCACATGGAATACTACCAGCATCAAGGCGGCAGAATCTCGGCCACCAGAGTCAGAATCGACGCAGACAGGCCATGACGGAAGAATGAAAAGTGTTCCGGTTCGGAGAGCAAGGCCGTAGTGTGTAGGGAGTGACTCGATGATGAGATGTTAGTACAGCATGTCACGATATGACAGCATAGCTTTCCCCACAGCAATTCAAGAAGCACCCATGAAGGAGGGTATATGTATATAACCCCCCGTACTATAGCTTCGGCAACAATTTGTGCATGAAACTTGAAATATAATGGGAGGAGCCAGGCACAGCATGGCTGGGCAGTGCAATGGTCGACGACATCGATAGTCGTGTGTGCCCCCACATACCACATGGACTACCCACTGGTTGTGTGTATGTAGGTATGATTTGACGAATGAAAAAGTACCGAAGAAAGAGGGAGCGTGGGCTTGGAGGCCGAGTTTGCAGCCGACCAGCACGTGCTCCCCACTCTAGGCGGGCCTTCTGCACGATGAGCTGTCGAGTTGGCTTTCAGTCGAGCTGACGCACCGATCTACGACCATGGTACCATGACCGTGGACACGTAGCTCATAGGGTACCGGCAAAGCTGGCTGCAAGGAGAAGGCGAACGGTGAGGTTCAGAAGCTGTTTGCGGCTAGGAGGGGGGACGTCATCTAGCGGTGGGTAATAGTGAAGCTGATAGCAAGGCTATACTTACATGCAACCGAGCCCAACAAGAGAGATTGAGAGATTGACGTCTGCATGTGGCTGGGATTATGCTGAGCATAAGGTGTGATTGTGGGAAAAGCAATAATATGTGTGGAGTAGACTTGGCGTGGTGGTGTATGTGAGTGCGTAGGAGAGGATACTCGCCTAATTTCTGCTCTAGTGACAAGAGCATGTTTGCATTTGGGTAGAAAGAAGAGCAAAGTGGAGTCTGGGCATCTCGAATGGGGAAAAAGAGGGACTTGCAACGTGGGATAGCGTAGGGCTGTCGAATAAAAGGTGGTGGCATGGCTTGCATAGAGGATCGCCGACTAGCGCCTGGGTGTTGCAGCTGTGCTTCTGACGACAGGCCGGAGGACGGCATGGTGATGGTGATGGTGATGGCGAAGTTTGCTGGCGGTAGCCCGTGGCCATGGACTAGACCGAGACGGGTCGGGATGAAGCCGAGTGAGGCAGAGGCAGTTGGAGGAAAACGATGGAGATGAAAGAATGGCTCGGGGCGGGCCGAGGATGGTGGGCGCAGGCGCATTGATGGCGGGAGTGGTAGCAGTTAGTAGTAGTAGCATGACATAGCAATGGTAATGCACCGTCTCTCCGCACGCTACTCCGGCCAACGTCCAAGCTTGGCCGCGCCCCCCATCTCGGGCGCTCAGAGCTTCGCACCCCATATCATCTCCTCGCGCTCCTATTGGCAGGCGCGTCCCCAGCTGCTTCTCACCTCCATTCGCGACCAAGGCGTACAGCTCCCGAAATCTATTGACTCGACCCGAATCACGGCCCTTTGCTCCAACTGGACCTTCTCCCCCAGTGACTGCTTGCATCCCGTCCCACCGCTAATCCATCGCCACGGGGGACAGCCATCGTCGCACCGACTATCAGGCCGCCGCCGCAAGGCATACACACGACTCCGCTATCTCTCTTGTCGCCCCTCGGTCTACGTGTAAGTCAGCCTGTGTCAGTCTGTTTGTTTGTCTGCGTGCATGTC